TTATGCGTTCTCTTATTACATGGCATTGACCTGGAACTTTGTGCCATTTTCGATGCTCTCGTATTCATTGAACCTGACTAAGCAGAAGGGATGATAAACAGAACAGCTGTTTATATTTGACTTTGAACTTTTACTTCTTTGCATCGTCTTGGGTGATTCGAGAACGTTCTTCAATTATTGCTAATTTATCGCATTCACAACAGTTATAGTACCGCAGTTCTGTCACAAATCAATGGCCTGTTGAGTGAAAACAACCGCACCCTGGATCTTTGCTTTGTGAGTGCTCGTGATACATCTCCTTTCCTCTCCACGGCACCCAAAACTTTAGTCAAGGAAGTGCATCATCACCCTACTTTAGTTATCGTGATTGAAAATAATATTGTCCACGATTTCATCAGCACTCCAAACGCTGTGTCATATGACATCCGTAGAGCTGACCATCGCAGTATTGTCCATGTGCTGTCTAACCTAGATTGGGAGCATATTCTAGATCCTGTACTTTTTTTTTAATTCTTTATTTAAAGATCCTGTAGACGTCAACATTGCTGCACAAACCTTTTCTCACGTCTTGGCATATGTCATTGACAGGCACGTTTCCAAAAAGATCATACATATCGACTCTCGCGTCCCGTGGATGAAGAACGATCTTCGTTGAAAAGAACTAATTACTTCCGCGGCCAGTAATGTTCCTTTGGTCAACAAAACGCTAAGCGCTAAGTCGAAGCCACTATAGATATGATTTCTAGAGCAGCATCTAAACTTAAGACTTCAGCTAAGGCTGAACCCGATGGTGTTCCATCGATTATTCTTAAAAAGAACATCACTTTTGTCTTTTAGATCCACTTCGTCGCATATTCCAGCTCTCTCTTTCCGTCTTGCTGGAAGACTGCGGATATGTTTCCTGTTCATAAAAAGGGAAGTAAACGCGACGCAAACAACTACCGGGGAATCACGTCGCTGAGTGCTGTATCAAAACTTTTGGAATTGGTTGTCATAGAGTCCCTAAATGCGCATTGAAAGCAATAGGGTTAACTACCCCATTTCCGTCCTATTAAGCACAACCCGCACATACAATTTTTTTAATCTAGCGCAGTTTAGCACCAAACGGAATGTTATTATTACTGATGGCTTCCAAATTTATTTACTTTTCTGGATGTACCTCAAGATTTGATAAAGAGAAATCAATCGTTGAGATATTATCAAAAGTGTTAGACTGCTTCTTGACACCAAACTCGGCCTACGGATTCTAAACTCGGCCTAACGCATTGAAACGCCAATGAATTTACTTTGGCCTATCGGATGAAGATAAAAATTGATTCGGTCGGAGCGCTTCTTTTGTTTTTGGGAATAATGGGTGCAAACCTTCATATCACGCATTCTCATTGACTTCGTTCGGTAGCTCATTAACTAAAGTATCGTACCAAACGCATAATTGACTTGTTAACTCTGAAATCATGGATTTATTTGAAGTTTTCTGCTCAATAGGCCCAAAACGGGCGATTAGGCCGAAGTAGTTCTCTACCCTATCTAATTATAGATCAACACGGATTCATAACTGGGCGTTCCACAACTACGAACCTGCTGTGCCTAACATCTTACATCACAGGCAGTTTGATTGCTCGGCCCCAAACGGACGTTATCTACACAGATCTTACGGCAGCCTTCCATAAGCTGAACCACAAAATTGCAATCGCTAAGCTTGATAGGCTAGGGATCGGTGGGAATCTTTTGAGATGGTTTCGTTTATTCCTCACGAAGCGCCAACTGACAGTAACTTTGGGTACTTGTCGCTCAGCAAGCTTCTGCGCAAAGTTCGGTATACCTCAGGGTAGCCATCTGAGACCATTGGTATTTCTCCTTTACTTCGACGACCTTCACCATGTTATCACAGGGCCACGATTATCGTTTGCAGACGATCTGAAAGTTTTTCTGCGCATCCGCTCACTCGCCGACTGCCTTTCTCTCCAAAATCAGATTGACATCTTTGGTGACTGGTGTAGTCTAAACCGACTGGTGGTCAACCCATCGTCAACCCTTACGCATCCGAAGAGATGTTTTCAGAGCCTTAATCGTCGTCGATACTCTGCAAGGAAGAATCGACTGCGAAGCAATTCTGCAACAAGTGAACATTAATGTTCAACCTCAATCACTACGCAACAGTCTTATGCTGAGACTTCTACTTCTTCGAACTAATTATAGCTTAGGGAGCGCTATTTACGGCTTGCAGTAGCGTCGATGTTCGATTACCACTAGACACGGAATATGCTTCGCCGAAGATTCTATGCCTTTTTTGCTGACCGAAGGCGCTTGACCACCAACAAACCGACATGACACTTAATTCTAACTCATGCCCGAAAATCGTAAACGGCCGATTTAAATGTGCAGTGATCCGAACCAGGGCGTCACAATATCAGCTTCAATCGACCAAATCGATGCGACGAAGAGACTGCTGGCTTTCTTTTTCTGTTAAAGTCGAACAGCTTCGCAGCATTCTAGAACCTCAGTCGGCGTGCACAAACAAATGTTCAATCGCTTGTCTCTCTTTCTCCCGTCGCTCCATTGGTCTTCCTTTCAAGCTTCGTCGAAATGGATGAGCGAAAGAGCGCTCGACTTTGATAGTTTTCTCTTTCATGAAACACATCAACAGAGGTTTCATGACGTATATGACGGAAAATGAAATAACACATTTAAAGCATTTCTCACGTCAAAACACTTGAAGATTACACGTCATATTTCTAATTTATCTTCCATCCATATATTTATCTAAAAAAATGATCGAAAACGGGACATAACGCATTTTAAACAAATTGAAAGAGCGGCGATAGAGTGTTCGTGAAAGGGGATTGAAAGCCATAATGAAGTTCGTTTAACTAGAAAATCGACGTTATTTACATTGAAAGCGATGAGCAAAGCAACGACGAGAAGTTCCACAGCCAGCCTTTCCTTCCAAGCGTCCTTCTTTTTTATTTTCGTTTCTTGCTGATAGTCTAGCTAGGCGTTATAGAAATGAAGCGTCGAACACGTATGTATGAGAGAAACAAAACACGAGTTCATTTTAGAGCTTCGAAATTGTAGAGCCCTGATCCGAACTGTCAAAACCATAGGAATTTTTTATCTAGATAAAAATAATTTGTTCAGAATAGATCAGACATGAACCAATTCATAACTTTTGAATGCGGGTTCATAGTTTATCTAAATGTTTCCCGAGAACACGGAGCCAGATGTCTGTAGTGTGCTTTGGTCAAAACAATTATTGTTTTAGCTATGGTCATTCATGTCGGTTTGTCGGTGGCTTGACGTCCAACAGCTAAGCGTAATATTTAATACTTATACATTTTTAGTAACTTGACAATGCTTTCCTAGTTATTTTCGTTTGTAACTGTAGCATATGTAGTCTGTATAATCTGTACTTTTTTTCACAATACATCATTGGGACTATTTCTAGTCTGTTGATGCAAACATAACAAATAAACAAATAAACAAAAATATTACTTACGAATTGACTTAAGGATCCTCAGCACCTGTTAAAAAAAATGAAAAACATTCATTGTTGTAACAAATATTTAGAATATACTTCAATAAACTATCAAAGTTACCCCGTTTTACGGTATTTGGGTTTATTATGTCATGCTGGAGAGGGCATTGAGCTTAGTTGCCAGTGTAGGGCTGGTAGTGAGTCACTTTTGGATGACTTGGTCACTTTTTTCAAGCCACTACTAGAATACTCTTTTTTCAAGGCAAAGTCCCTAAAGTCACTTTTTCTTGTAATTAGTCACTATTCTCAATTTTTTTAGCGTGAATTTATTTCAAGATTGATCATTCTTCTTGCAGTGCGTAGGATCTGATATTACAATCGATGCCTACATGTTCTAATTTTGTTTGTAAATATGGGGTTAACAGTCTCTAAATATGGGGAACTTACTGGATGCTTTAAGGAACATTAAAGCGGTTTTATTATCTTCCGAAAAACTGCAGGAACTTTTACGAAGTTCCTAGAATTGCAGGTGTCAAAAGAACTTCACATTTTCGTGTCTGCTATTTAACATCGCGTTAGAAAGTGTGATCAGAAGAGCTGGGATAGACGAGAATGGCACGATCTTCAGGAAGACCATCCAGCTTCTTGGCTTCACCGATGACATCGATATCATGGCACGGAACTTTGAGACGATGACGAAATACTTGAGAGGACGAGGTTCTAGGGAAGACAATGTTAGCCTTCCACCCCGAGTTCAGATTGACGGTGACGAAATCGAAGTGGTCGTCGAATCCGTGTATTTGGGCTCACTGGTGACCGCCGAAAATAATACCGGCAGAGAAAATCCAAGAACCCTACGATCGAATAAAATTCGACGAAGTTGACTATCTACAAAACGCTGATTAGACCGGTGGTCCTCTACGGCCACAACAACTGGACTAAGCTCGAGGAGGACCAACGCGCCCTTGGTGTTTTCGAACGGAAGGTGTTGCGTACCAGCTACGGTGGTATGCAGATGGATGACGGAGCCTGGAGGAGGCGAATGAACCACGAATTGCACATTGCAAAAATTGGCAGACTACGGTGGGCTGGGCACGTCGTAAGAATGCCGCACAACGACCCAGTGAAAATGGTTCTCGAAAGCGACTCAACTGGAACACGAAGAAAGAAGAAGAGGCGCGCAGCGGGCAAGTTGGATTGACCAAAAAGAAGGCAACCTGCGGACCCTTCGCAGACTACGAGACTGGCGAAGTGTGGCCATGGATCGAGTACAGTGGAGACGACTTCTTCGAACAGCAGATAAAAACTAAATAAAAACTCTTGATAGCTGAAAATACTTGTGAATATTTTAGGTGGACAACAAGGTGAACGCCTAAGTTTCTCCACATTTATATCGCTGTTAACTTTAGAGGAAATTTATACATAATATATATATTATCTGTAACTGTAACCAGTTAGGTAACATCACAAATAGTTATCGACAGACAATTCCTACAATGCGTTCGGATGGAGTGAAATGTGCAGCTCGAATTCCCTATACTATATTCCAAATTCATACGACTACCATCATTTTCAATACGCTTACCTACCTTGATCTAAATAGTCGTGTAATGTGCTTTACAATGCACGATGAACTCCGAAACTGGATCGTTATCACCTTCTCCGCGCATCGATCCCGTAATTTCTTCGTTTTCCACCATGGGCAAAAATAATTGCACAAACTCTGGCGAGTACGGGTGCGTTATCGTTTCGAGCACTTCGGTGACAAAATAACGTATCAACGAGATATCGGTGTCTCCCCGGGTGCAACACTGACGGATGTATTTCACGACTGGAACCACACATCCCCTGGTCAACAGGTTGACCATACGATCGAGCAACATTTTTTTCATTTCCAGCTGCACGAGAATTTCCAGCTCATCTTGTTTTGATTCAAACAGTTGTATCAGCAGCCGAAGGATTTGATCGTGTAACGACGAATGAACCTGAGCGACTTCGTCCAGCAGGGCCAGGTGAAGGGGACAACTCTCAGTGCACAGTTTAAAATAGGAAGGTTCTGTAACGGTATTTTCGACCCATCGAATTACACCCACTCCAACCACCGGGAAGCGGATGCAATTGTACAAGGTGGCTATTTCAGCGATCAGTTCAGTAGAACCACGATTCACATTGCAGATGGTGTGCACCTTTTCCACTGCCTAGGATGTTGGAAAATATAGAAACAATTCATGATACACTAATAAATAACTTACCTGGATAGTTGGCTTCAGTTCATCCTTGTTTATATTCCGATGGCCTTTGGGTTGCCCTTTTTTCGCGGATGTTTCACATACACTCGCCGCATAGGCCAACAGATAAATGTACTTGGATTTGTGTTCTTGATTAATTTTGACGCCTACTTTAAATAGCGAATCGACCAGTAAATCCAAAAATTGAGGATTACGGATCAGGTCGATCGGTGGTGCTTCCAGGGAGGAATAGTTCCGGTACAAGACCGTTATATCAGCCGGATTGAGGGCATTTCTAGTAAGCATGGAAGTAAGAGCTTCACAAGCTTGTGGATGCCGAGCAGAACCATTTAGGGCCATCGTAATAGGTGTTACATTATGATTGCTATGAAAGGAGGACCATTAATATAATTGAATGCATAAAATGACAAGTTGATAAACCTACTTTTTCGATGCATATTTCGTGATTTCCTGAGCCAAGCGCTTCATAATGAATCCTCCTTTGGGTTCTTGCGATAGAACTTGAACCAACACTTGGCTATAAACGTACGTATGCTGGCCGTGACATACCATTTTGGCACATTCGTGGATAGCAGATTGCCAATCGTCTGGATGGTTCAGAAATTTAGCAATCGCCGTCTTCAGCACCCTTGAGAATACTTCAATCTGCTGGGCTGCCGTGGAAATTGAAGTAATTTCGCTCTGAAATCCGGCATCCGAGATAAGTTTGATGGTGAAATTCAACATAAGACAATCCGGATATTCCTCAGCTAGCCTGTAGATCAAAGACCGCCATGTATGGTGTTCAATCATTTCCGTCAACCAGGCTGGTGTTTCACCTTCTTCGGTGAAAATTTTATCTGCCTTCTTCGGATCGAACGTTTTGAGAATCATGTCCTTGAGATGGTTTTCAACCATTGCCTGTACATCGGTAACGCGAACTCCAGCCAATATCAACCATTCCGCCAGGAGATTGGCCATCTGAGCAACCGCGGTATAGTTAGCTGAGAGTTGGTTGATTACTTGTTCCGGAGTACCACCCGCTTGGAAGTACCGTTTCAGCTGGGTGAAAATTCCCGGTTCCATAATGTAATCGGAAGTGGCAAATTTCCCCAAGCATTCGTTGAGCACTTCCTGGGGATTTTCCAGGGGTTCTTCGTGTCCATCAGCCTGGAAGTTAATTTAACATTAAAGGAGGAACAAAAATATTAGCTATCAAACGTAAACAACTGGAGGAAACAGCGGGCGACACACACATTTTGAGGGAGTCACAACATACCTCTTCTTCGCCAGGTTGATTGTTCCGGTTAATCCATCCTTCCTCTTCGTATTCCTCCTCCATTGCGCTCATATTTTTTTACTAATTAAATGTAGAATCGAGATAATTTTCCAATAATTTGTCCCAAAACAACAACGTAAACAAGTAGCGGCCAGAAACCCGAAAACCGAAGCGCGTTGTTTTGAGATGATGTGTCAAATGTATTTGCAAAAGGCGTCGTCTATAAACTATATATGAAGGGGGCAATTCGCCAAACTCAACGCATGGCTGCGTGCTGAATTCAGCGGTACACTGAAAACGAAATTAACTCAGAGAGTGAGCCACTTTCAATCGGTTGTGAGTCGCTTTTACTCTTTTTGGGCCGATGACCATTATTTATAATTAATTTTATAATCCCTTTCCGCTTTTATTTTTGCATTATATTCATCTAAACGATCTGTTTACTGACCAGTCTTCTATGGGTGCACTGATCAGCACGAACTTTCTTTTTTTTCGTTCTCCTTGTGCTTCGACAGCCAGCGTTTGTTGGTATTTTCAATGAAATCATTTGTGGCGTTTGATCGCCGTTTGATGACCTGGAGCTAGAGTTTTCGTTGTTACTTTTAACGTTTGAAGTGTGATGATCCTCGGTTTGATTGTCGGTGTTTCGCTGTTGTTCTTCTACTGAGACCGATGTCGTTGGCTGGTTTTGTTCGATATCCATCGACGGAAAATCAGCGAGACTGAATACCCAACAAACATTGGAAGCTAATTAAGAGCTTATTAACTCAAAAATATGCGTTTTAAGCTAAAAAGTGGCTTAATCAACAGTTAACCAGCTCAAATTTTTTGTTGGGTACCTCCTCGGTTGGTGGAGCTGCTGGAGCGGTGCTATTGTTCGATGTGGCTACATTCAAAAAATTCTGTTTGGGATGTTCTGCTCGGCCACAATGGCGGCACGTTTTTCGTTGCTTGTCGTACGTTACCAACGTTGTTTCGTTGTCGACCGTGATGTATGATGGAATGGCGCTTTCGAGTCGCATTCGCAAAAGTCGAACAACTCACTCTTCGCACAGAGGAACGCGTGTTTATGGTTGTGCGCCTTTTCATAGCGCAAAGGCGTCGTGTGTCGCCGAAGATTCTCTGCCTTTTTTGCTGACCGAAGGCGCTTGATACCCAACAGCTAAGTGTAAAATTTAAGACTTATAAATTTTTAGTAACTTGACAATGCTTTCCAAGTTATTTTCGTTTGTAACTGTAGTAACTGTAGTATATGTATGTCGTCTGTATAATCTGTACTTTTTTACAACACATCATTGGGACTATTTCTAGTCTGTTGATGCAACCATAACAAATAAACAAATAAACAAATAAACTTCATTATCAATCATCTCAATAAAAACACAATTTCGGACGTTATGAAACTGAATGCATCTAACGTCCAAATATTGAAGCTTACTATTTTTCCCGAAGAATTTTTGCACTTTTCCCGTATTGGGACGAACTGGAAGGACACTGAAGTTAACAACAAGTGTGTTTTTACCAAGTCGGAGGCAACTTGACAGCTCCAGTACATTGCCAGTGTACCCCGACAATTTGGTGCTGGTAGGTGCTGGTGGTTCTGTCAAATTCACAAATTTCAGAAGTGTTATCTGAAAAGGGCGAATGCAGAAATGATGTCCGGTAAACAAAACTAAAGTTTAAAATTCATTTTATTGTCGCACCAAATCACACACGCGACGTTACTCTCAAAAAATCCCACACGTCATCATCATGTATCTCACACTTAATTCTGCACTTATTGTGAAACACATCCATTTTTTGTGTGAATCTTATGCTGTGAACCATGCCTAAATACTATTGGTTCGAATTGTGACACACTTGGAATCTATGGGCTTCACATGGTGGTATCAATAGCTTTGCACTCCAAATGCTGTACAATATTATACTTCATCGAATTCTACTTTACCGATTCCAAAATTGAATCGACAAATATATAAACAAAGCTGCCAACTCATCTGTTTCTTGAGACTTCAAGTTTGGTGAGGAATAACGTTAATGATACGGATGGGTGCAACACAAGATAATCACTTTAATTTATTCGTTTTAGAAGCTCATTATAAATATTTTTTGTGAGACCCTCATTTGATTTAATTCATTTAATTATATGTATTTCTTCAATTTTAAATGGATCTACAAAATGTTCCTCATCACCCAGCAAACTACTACTCACCGCGAAATATAATCAGTTTTGTAAGTTTTTTGCGGATAGAATTCTGAATACTTCCAATGTTTTTGGCATATTCCTCAAGCCGGAGTTTTAAATAACAATCGATGCACAATTTTATCAAGATATTGCGATGATTTTTTACTGCATCCTGCTTAAAAAGAAGTCCTGATAGTTAAAAAAACATGTTGATGAATATTGCAGATGCTCATTAGGATTCTATCACAGACAAACAGACATAACACATTGAATACTTTTCAATTTAAAACATCGTTGCTAAAACACTACCGCCATCTGTTGAGTATACTGTGATGGGTAGTACGCTGAACAGATGGCGGTAGTGTGTAAACGTCAAACGCAAGGGTTATTGACTATGCGCGCTACAGGTGGCGGTATTACCAACTAAAACATTTAAATTGACCGTTAAATGCGTGTTCGATGAACAAATTGCCAGTGTTATGTTTGTTTGTCTGTGATTCTATGTTCAAGCCGTATGGAATATCTTCCAACGTTGAAATATTTGTGGTGATTAATGAGTGTTTTCAGTTTAGTTTCAGAAGTCTTGCATGTTAGAAGAATACACAAGAACACAAGAATAGAGAAACACAGGAAAGTAAAATTTTGTTTATTCATACGGCCCATGGCAAGCCTTTATCGCACCACTATGATCAAAAAAATCTGTAGGCTGATTATATTCAAGAGCAAAACAAATTAGAAGACAACAAAGTATTTTTATTGTCATTTGATTATATAAGAAAATGAACCTCCATCAATCGGTTTCAATTTGTTTGGATTATTTCATTTCACCACGAAAATAATAAATTCGCTCTTATCATATAGCATTTTAGCCTGTTGTTTGACATCCACACATGGAGAAACAAAAAGTTGAATCCCCATAGAGAAATGTTGTTGCGGCGGTGAAGGACAATCCCTTTGTTTATGATGTGTGGCGACATCTACTATTTGCAAGTGGGTACGTGAAACTAAGGTTATCTGTCATCTTGCCGGGTACTTGGTTTTTACCGAGGGGGACGACTCTATCTACGATGCAGGAAATATTGTGTTTTGCTGTGGCTAGCTGCGCGTACGCTGAGTAGATAGAAAGAAGATTTATCACGATTTTGAAGATTTCCTGCAAAAAGATGATGCGCGATGCAAGTAGATGCGAGAAATGAAAGAAGATTTTTCAAAGATTTATTGGCTAGTGTGAGATTTTTTGAGCATCTAGAATTGAGATTTAGATGTGTCGCCCCCCTCGGTTTTTACGAACTACACTCATTTTCGCTGCAATATTTCACCAAGTTAAGCAGAGTAGAACGAGCACAGGTCCGATGAATATGAGTAATGGCTGTCGAATGACTTTTACTCATTTGTATGGAGAAATTTTTATGAGTATCATTTTTTTTTAGAAATTTATCATACGAAAAATGGGAAAAGTGTGACTCACTCTCTGAATAAGATTAGTTTTCAGTGTAACGTTTCAATTTTAAGGGCCCGTTCAGATATTATGTGACGCAAAAATTGGATTTTGTAATACCCCCAACCCCTCATTTGTCACACAATTGTTCTATATTGCCAGTCAAGTTTGGCACCGGAAAACCCCACACGCGACATTCGATTTTATTCTCGTTCTGTACGTTAAACATAACGTCGGACCCAGTGCGCATTATAGTGTATCATTGTGCGAATAGAGCCCTCTATGTCCGACACTATATTCAACGTACAGAACAAGCGTAAAATCGATTGTTGCGTGTGTGGCTCTCCGGTTTTCAACTGTACCGATAATCTTATACATCCCGACTAACCATTTCTTTAAATTTCTTTAATTTTCGAAAGAAATTCATAAGAAAAATCGATAACGAGCATCACATTTCATTAAGATGCCAGCACAAAAGTAGCTCAAACTATAAAAACATAAAAGCACGCAGTGGAAAAAAACACAACCGTTCTACATCGATTCTCAGCGAACTCCATTTATAGGGGAATTACTCATTGAGATGAAAACTTCCGATGAAGCGCATTAGCATACCGATAAACTAATGCAGGCTTGTTGTTAAGGCTCCAACAGTTATGCGCACGACATTACACTTTCAAAAACAGTGCCACGCACTGAAGTCGAATAATTTACCCTCGATATTATAGTCTGACATTCCGTGGACAACAATTTTGTGGCTGATTTAATCCATTACAAAGCATGAACAGAAAGTGTATTTGAAAATAGTACAGTTATGATGCAGTCTGCAGTCCAATAAAATTATTCAGAAGTGCAGTCAACCGGTGAACACTCGTGACAGTTACCGTGGGGACGTAATTTGTGATTAGCCCCGGTCCCTTTCAAATTGTATCATTATTTATGTACGGTCCTTATATTTGAAATGACGTTTCACATTCATCTAGTGATGGCCGATTTTCATTCGAATAATTGATTAATCGATTAACGAACCGAAAAGTAAAATATATGGTTATATCGTGCCGATATAAGCATTAACATCTCCATAGGATCATCACCACCGATCGTTTCAAACATGTGCTGCACTCTCATTGGTTGAAAAATGGCAGCACAGCGAACAAAAAATAATCGATTAGTTGTTAATCGAGTAATTAAAAAATTGGACATCTCTGATTTTGGTGTTTGTTTTGATAAAAATGAGCGCAAAATTTCATCTCTATCAAGGGGGCAGCAAAACCAAAAAATTACCTTGAATACGGGGGGTATTCATTGGATGAAACAGACCGTGAAAGAGGACACTAAAATAGAAAGTTTTTCTTCCGACAGTTTCATCCAACCGGTGAACACTCGTGTTTATTTCAGTTACCGTGTGGACGTAATTTGTGATGAGCCCCGGTCCCTTTCAAATTGTATCATTATTTATGTACGTTTCATATATTTGAAATGACGTTTCACATTAATCTAGTGATGGCCGATTTTCA